AGGGACAAAAGAAACAAACATCAGCCCCTCAAAGAGTTGAGCTACAGAACTGCTCAAAGGGAAGAAAGGTTAGGCATGAAGAAAGGTTATTCATATTTTTACTAAAGCAAGTCTCAAAAGATAGTTAAAGCCTACTGGTATTCAGATAGCAGTCTTAAAAAACTGAGTGCAAAATCCAGTATCTGTAGGGTATTTCCTGCCCTTTTGTACAGAAAGTGTTTATACATGAAATAGGCATATTATAACTGAAATATTTTGAGGCTACGGATAATAAGGAACACCTGTAAAGGGAGAAGGTAAGCTGGTAATACTCCATAGAAATGAATAAATATAGCTCAACAGAATTCTCACATGGTTTCAGTTATATAGCATTTTTTTCATTCACTGCACTCTTAACCATTAGCTCCCTTTCCAGTATTTGGTAACTTCTACTTATTTAGACACAAAGAATGTATACTTATGTATTTCATAAATAGATGTAGTGATACATTTTGTGATACATTACATTATACACTTATATATGCACTAAATTACACATTTTAATTCTTAATGGAATAATAAAGTACAGTTTTTATGAGTAACTACTGCAGATATCTAGATTACTCCCATGAATTTGGGAGGTTAAATTGAGAGCTACAAAAATCAGAATGCATGAGGGTTAAAAAGAGAGTGTCCGCTCCCCACTACACATGCAATACCTCGCAATTTCACATTTTCATTACACACATTTACAATTTTCATTATCACACCTTGATTCATCTCTGTATTAATACTACCCAATGAGTACCCAATACTACTACCAATGAGCAGGCCCAAGCCTCTTGTATATCCTTTCTTTCTCCTGGATGTACCCGAGAAAGCTGAGCTCAGCCACCAACATATCTGCAGTCTGCACAGCTTTGCCAAAATTATGCCTGCCTGCTTATCAGTCAAAGAACAACTTGCCCATCTTCACCTCTCTCCCTCTGTTAAGAACTATGTTCTCAGCATCAGGAGCTGAATTCCTGTTTAAGCTTATCATTTTGATGTTCCTTGGAAAGCATTCACAGGAGACACAGGCGCTCAAGAGGAGCACTCTTGGTCATCCACACATGGCCATGGCAGTGTTAGACAGCAGCAAATACTATCACCATTTGGAAACATCTGAGGCCTGTGAACAAGCAACAGAGGGAACACTGGGATGCTGAGGCATTTTATACTTTGGTTTATCTGGAACTCTGCAGAGCTTCCATACATCAGCATTTAGAGTTGCTGCGTTTGCTAACAGCTACAAGTCAGTATTTTAACTGCAGTTCAAAAACAGCATTAGCTTTTCCAAAAAGAGCAGTGTACCATTCTCATGATCTAACAGAACTAGGAGATACATCATTCATTCATTCATTTATCTTTACTAAGAGCTTCTGCAACTCTTCAGTGGTTCAACTGAATGTGCATACATTTCACTTTCATGGTTAGGCTTCGCAAACGAAGATTTGAGAAGGGCTCCACCCACGCTTGCTGCAAGCGCACTGATGGCTAAAAAGGCCAATGCGAGATAGACAAGTCCGGTTGCAGAAGGCACAGCAGAAAGACTCCCCAGGTGATATCGACGAGACGCGATTCTGCGTTGTCTTTTCTCCTCGAGAGTGATCCTGCGTGTGTTCTCAAAAGCAGCAGCAGTGTTATAGATGGTGTGTCTCCAGGCCTCCCGATTGGAGGCCAGGGTAGACCAATGGTGATGATCAATATGGCCAAGGCTGAGGGATTGTTTCAGAGAGTCCTTGTATCTCCTCTTCGGGGCTCCTCTCTTGCGGCAGCCAGTGGCAAGTTCCCCATAGAGCACGATCTTAGGGAGGCGGTAGTCCTGCATCCTGGAGACGTGCCCTGCCCAGCGCAGCTGTGTTCTCAGCAGCATGGCCTCAATGCTCGTGACTGCTGCCTGTTCAAGGACAGGCGTGTTGGTCACACAGTCAGTCCAGTGCATGTTTAGGATTGTACGGAGGCAGCGCTGATGGAAGCGTTCTAAGAGATGCAAGTGGTGCCGGTAAATGACCCATGATTCAGATCCATATAAAAGAGCAGACAGTACAACGGCTCTGTAAACACTGATCTTAGTACTTTTCTTCAGGTGTTTGTTTTGCCACACTCTTTTATGGAGTTTATCAAAAGCTCTGTATGCCTTTGCTAACCTGTTGTCTATTTCTGCATCAATCTTACCGTCTGAGGAGATGATGCTTCCCAGGTAATTAAACTGCTGGACTGATTTGAGCTCTGTTTCACCAATGGTGATATGGGGATGATGGGAGACTTCCTGAGGTGCAGACAGATATTTCTAAAAAGCATGCTACTTGTTTCCCCTAGCTGTATCAACAGAAATAATTTTCCTAGTAGTCATGGAAAATTACATCAATAATATTTTAGTAGCCATCTTTATCGAAGCAACTAAATAGGTAGCAGGTTGGAGAATATGACAGGATTGACTGCTTCAGTTCCAGATTTCTTGTTATGTTACATATAGTGATACTACCTTATAAAAATTACTACTACAAAAGCAGCTTAGGAAAATCCAAGATATCTTTGAGTGTCCTTTTAGTTGGGAGGCATACAGATAGACTCACTTACTTTTATATAGAAGAAAACCATGAAAAGCAAACAATTACTGAAACTTCTACGTTTTTCTCTAACCTTTAACTAGGTATGAGCATTATATAATGATAATACTTCTGAATATTAGTAAATGTATAGCTGATTAATATTTTGAACAAGTAAATAGTTAATACACTTATATTCACTTTAGTGGGACAGTTGATCCTCCAAAAAAGTTCATTACTTATAAATAGACAGAGAAGTAAAATAAACACTGAATCAAGCACTCTTCTGAAGTTATACAGTTAAAATATTTTGATCTTTTAGAAAAGGTTTCCTTAGAACTGTGCAGGGAAAAAAGTAGTTAGATAAAGATTATCTGTGTAACAAATACGGTGGCATATATTCTCCATATGCATGTCCTCTTGTCCCAGTGAAATGAGTGTCACAAATAAATACTCATGTCCTGAAGGTTCTACAGGTTACCTATTCATAGACTAGATTTTAGATTAAAATTTGGTGTCACTCGTAAGGGAAAAAAAACCCACAAAAATTTTGGGTTTTCTTTCCTAAGAAAGCCCATAAGGAACACACAGGTGAGGTTACAAGGCAGACTAGCACAAATGAGCGCATCTCAGACGTTTTATCATGACTATGTGCAACACATACTTGTATCAGGATTGCTCATTAACCTAAAATACTCAAATGACATTGAATCAAGTTAATTCAAAGAGATTCCTGAAAAACTGGTTTGACAATATTGCATTTGATGAATCTATCTAGATCTATCCAAAATCAGTGATGTACAAGGACTGTCATTAGCAACTCCTATTCTGTCAAAAATGCTACTTAGTGGGTAAGTTTGCAAGGAGGGAACAATATTAACCTGTATCAGTTACAAATTCCACATCTCAAATCTTTTACACTTCCATGTGCTTTCCCCACAGCTGTAAAAATGGGCTGCAGCTCCCCAAAGCAGAGCATGCATGTGTAACAACGGTGTTTGCACTGGTTGTTTACCCTTGCATCTATCACATGATCTTAAAAAATTCTGAAAACGTTAAGCATCACGTGATTGAATGCATCCTTATAACAACTAGTGTATCAGAATACTCAATCAAGAAAGAGATAGCAATATCAGTACACTCCTAGAAAGTAGAAAAGGAAGCTTAAAGCTACAAAAGAACAAAAAAATCCAAATCAAATGAAGAGCTCTTTACGTATTCTGCAGACAGTGTTTCTTAATATTTAAAATGCCCAACCCAACACATGCAAAATAACCAAGAGATAGCAGGAACTATTCTCCCTTCAACTGTTAGTTGTGGATGCTACCCTGTTTCCTACAGAATCAATGTCCAAACTCCTCTTTATTTCCCCGATTGGAGGATCATGTCCTTCATCGCAAAGTCTGGCAACATCCTGTCAAATTCCTTGAAGTGTTATATAATCAAGATGCTGAATGTTTACATTGCCATCAATACAGACCCTTTAAAGTCTGTTTCTATCTAAATTATCAAAATTTGACAATACTAAAAAGCCCTCCTATGTCATCTTCTATCACTAAAAGTACAGTAGATTGAAGAACAATGGAAAAGAGCGCATAGGGATTTCATCGTTGGAATTCCTCCGTCTCAATAGCCAATGGTCATGTATCAACCGTCACCGTTACCCTTACTTTAAAACAACTTTTCTTTGAGGTAACTCTGTTAACAACTTTAAGATACAGTCTGCGGCCACACCACCACCATCGCCACGACCACCGTCTTCGACTGTGTGGATCGCCCAGCTGGGCGTCCGGGACCACCATGGAGTACAATCCTGCCTCGCAGGGAAGTTCCGATCGCCGTCCCCGGACGAGCCCGCCCGCGCTGAGCGCCCCCAGCGCTCCGCTGGACCGGGGCATGTCCGCGATGCGCTCCCGAGCGGGGTAGAGCCGGGCCCGGGCACCGCCGACGCCTCCGGGACCCGCGGCACCCGCCTTTCCAGCTGCAACCTCGGCAGCCCCGCACCGGCAGCGCCGGGGCCGCCAATCGGCGGCCCCGTTCGGCCCTCCCGAGCCGGCGGAGCGGAGGGGGCAGCGCTGCATCCCCTCCGCCAGCCCCGACCAGCGGGCTGGTGTCGCCCCCCGCCGCGGTACCCACGGGCACCGCCGGCAGCCGGGCGGCGGCGGACCAAGTTCCCAGCACGCCGCCGGTGCCGCCCGGGGACCGCGCCAGCACCACCGCGCCGAAGGGCACGGCAAGGGGTGGCGGGGAACGGCGCCCGCCCGCGCCCCCTGCCCACCGCGGCCCAGTGCCGCCGCCCGCCCCCGGCATCCCGCCCGCCGCTCCGCCCGTGCCGGCATCGCTGTCCGGCGCTGCCACCGGCCCCTTCAGCACGAGGCGCAAGGGACGCGCACCCGAGACAGGCATCCGCCTTCCCTGGCCGGACCTTACCGGCCGCGCTCGCCACCCCCGCTCCGCTGGGCGTTCGCCGCTGCCGCTGCCGCTCCCGCAGCCGGGGCGCATCCCTGCTCCGCCCGCAGCCGCCGCCGCCGCCGGCACCGCGCGCCGCACGGGAGTGCCGCGCGGGCACCGCCGGGGCGCGCCCTCGCCGACTGACGGCCCTGCCAGCCAATGGCCGACCGCGCAGCGGCGGGGAGGCGGGACGGAGTGGCGGAAAAAGGCCAATGGGAGCCGGCCCGTGCGGCAGTGCCGTTTCCGGGCGGGGGCAGCAGCGCTGGATTGAGGGGTGGCCGCGCGCGGGCGGCGGTGCCGGGCGGGCGGACCGGGAACCGGACCGGGCTGGGCCGGGCCGGGCAGCGCCGCGGAGTCCCCCTGACGCGCTCCAGCCCCGGCAGAGGCTGCCGGCGGTGATGCCGCGCGCGGCAGGGCCGGTCTCGCCCATCCCCAGCCGCTCTGAAAACGGGAGCGGGGCTGGGGGCCGGCCGTGCAGGTGGGGAGCGGGTGCCGCCCAACCCCCGTGAGCGCAGGAACAGAGAACTTCACGCTGAGGCGCTTTGTTAAAGGAAAAGGAAAAAAAAAAAAAAAAAAAAAAAAGGGGGCGTTCAGGATGTATCTTTGGCGGTGAAATCCCACCGATCTAAAAGCCGTGTCCGCTGGCAGCATCGCCGCGGCTGCCCGGCTGCCGCTGACCTTGGCGTGGCCGCGGCGGGCGCAGGACCGCGTCCTCGGCGGCTGCCGCGCTGCGGAGCGGCTGTGCCGAGCCGGGTGTGCCGAGCCGGGTGTGCCGAGCCGAGCTGTGCGTGCCGTGTGGGGGACCCTCCGTGGCACGGCTGGCGGTGCGCCGAGGGGTTTGCACGGAGTTTGCAAGACCTCAGAACTTGTCCCAGTGGCAGCGCCCGCACCTGTGTTCAACTTGGTTCAGAGATTTTGTCAGTGTACCAGTTGTCTGTTTAGTTTTTGTTTATGGGATACATCCATAGTTTTGCATTGCTGTTATTCTGCATAGAATAAGGTGTTTTGCGTGCTAACCACAGTGATGTAGAGGTATACAGGTAAGGTGCCAGAGGTTCTGGAGAAGTGAAGACCTGGGATGAACCATTGAGTCTGGAGAGCCTATGGCAATAAACAGCTCACCCGTGGTCAGCTAACGAAATGCAGGCCTGGAGCTGGACAGAAGTGGGTTTGGGGGTAGCAAAGAAATAGTATCTGACATACCTAAAAGGCAATGTACATATTAAATGAGGGTGTAGAATTAGAGCTGCAGACCAGTGAAGAAAGAGAAAGGTAGAAAAGTGTGTTAGCAAGGATAAAAATGACCTTAAGTAGAACCTAGAGGACAAAGAAGAAATCATAAACCCGGACATCATATTTCTCCTGGCCAAGGACTCCAAATGCTCACAAGTTACTGTTGTCACGCTAACTTAGAATGCAACTGATTGGGAGATCCAAAGGAGCAATGGAATGGTGAATGTAACAGCAGGAGAGGAGTACAACAACTTTAACTGCATTGTTACCACTTTTTTTGTATAACTAGTAATTACTAGACTCTTAAGATTTCAGTTATAGTAACAATAAATGTCTCTTCCCTCCTTTCCTGCCTCTTTCTCTAAAAAGCCAGATGAAATGCTAGAAAACATTTCAGAAATATGTTTTGTTGCTGGATTATTTTCATTGTTGGTTGTCTTTATACACTGTTTTGGAATTTGTCAGGTAGGACCCCTTGCCTAGTTTCGTACTTTCTTTGCTGATTCAAAAGGATGTGGAGGTTTATTAATTCCGAATAGCTTGCCATCATATTTCATGCTTTTTAGAAAGGTTTCTAAAATTAAATAACCTCTCAAGTTAATCTGGTCCCAAGCAAATGTTTGTTAAGTCCTTAATGAAGGAACTTATTGCTAATACTAATACTGTATTATTTATAGACAGAATTCCTTGTTTAGTCATACCAGATGCAGGTACCCTCATCTGTGCTGAGTTCAGAACTGTGAGTACTGTTGAACAACCTGAAAGTCATGTCCTTTCCTTTCATAGCAGCCTCTTAATGCAAATTTTATTCTGGTGACACTGATGCACTACAATGATAGATTTTTTTCTTCACACTCTTCAAGTGTTTACTTTTCTTCTTCTGTGGTAATGAGGCATTTGAGTTTACTGTGTCCAGTCTGAAGATTCAATACACATGCTTTTGTTTGGATTGAAATAACAAGAAATGTTTAAAATGCTTATGGATCTAGACACTGTGTGATAGCTCAGTCAAAATGGTTTTTTTTTTTCTAGCGAATGAGTTTTATTACTACAGGAACTACCTCAAGCCTTGAAAGAGTATGGTGTTAAAAAATACATATCAAAAAGTATCAGATTTTTTTACTCTTTGTTAAAGCAGGAAGGTTTTTTTTAACCTTTGATGTCAGCCATATCTTTATCTTGAAAAAACCCCAAACCCAACAAATATGGTTTATTTATTGTTAAGAGTTTTACAAATGTTGCAGAACTGACTAAACCATTGAACAGCTATAACTTCGTAACTCCTTCAAAGAAGGAGGAAATACGAAAAATAGTAATTAAAATGGAAGCTCTTTGTAGTGAGTAGAACATAAATGTCATTGTTTTTAATATTTTAATCTTATCTAAAAATGTAAAGAGAAATTCAGATATCCTCTCTGAATGTTATACTTATGTTAAAAGAGTAGCCTTTAAGGTTCTACACAAGCTTTTCGCAAGTCTATACAGCTCAGTGTGTAAGTTAACTAAATCATTAAAAAGCTAAATATCCTGAACATGTGAGGAAAAAAACCCAACACACCTGAAATATGAGTCTGTTCATGAAAGTGCCTTACAGTACACATAATATATTCTGAGGTTTAGCAGAGCTCTTAATACTCTGATAAACTGGGGGAATTTTTTGTGTCCCAGTTAGCCCACAAGACCATAATTTATCCTTCAGTCCTGTAAGTTTGCAGAGTTCAACAGTTCTTTCTGAAAAATGATACAGTACTCTTGAAAAGTATTAAAGGACATACAGGAGCTGAACTGCTCTTACTCACAGCAGAAACATCATAAGAAATTTAATCCCCGTACAGCTCTGTCAGCAGGATTTCTTTCTGGATCAACAGGGGTGGCAGAAGTCAGGAATCATACCTGTTAAATCATTGTTTTAGCTGTTAAAACAGCCAACAAGATGTGATCTGTGGGCTAAATATTGGTACTGGGAACCCTGGCAGATAGCAGGAACTATGCTGAAATTCATCTCAAAAAAAAAAAAAAAGGAAAAAAAAGGAAAAAAAAGAAACACAGTTCTGTATAAGCTTTAGTGTTTAACTTCAGATTTTAGGAGAGCAATACTGTATTATTGTACTGGCAGATATTTTACATCAAACTGTAAAATAACCTTTTAGAGATAAACGTTGTTTCACTCCTCCGTTCTGGTCAGGTTTGAATATTTAACTGATGCATGGATGTAGCACTGCCTTTACAGATCTGGGGGAAGAATACTTGACTTATTTATTTTTAAATGTGTTACAATTTGCTATTCAGCCTCATTTGGTAACCCGTTTCTTCATATCATGCAGATGTATGCTGTGAGATGCAAATCACAGTTATGTGCCAGGTACTATGTAGACGAGTAAGGAAACAAAGTTCTTATCCCCTTATGATTACTTCTGCAAGTGCATTGGGATCTGATTTCACACTGCATGACAAAGTGTTTCCTTTTGTTATTTTATCTCCCGTGTATTATGTCAGCTGAAAGGAGATGATCTCCCCATAAACAAAGCAAGGCAACTTCCTTTGTGTGCAGATTGAGTCCTTCAAGATGTTTGTTTATCTGCAGTGATCAGCTGCAAGCACAGCTTCCATTTATATAGTGTCCTTCATAGCAATGTTACCATGAACATAGTGAATATACTTAGAAGTATTTAAAAGCTCCATAAATATATATTTCTTTGTGACTGCCTTGAACAGTGATATAAGAGAGGCCTTTTGTATGGAAGAATGGATGGATGGTGGAGCATTTTTTCAGATCCAAGCAATTCTGCTTTGCGTGAGTGACCAGAACATGTGAAGAACTTTGTTTTTTCTCCATTGCTCCAGTCAATTTAGATATTTTTATCTTTGTTTTAAATGTATTATAGTTTTTATTGTTCCCCACCCCATATTTAATTTTGTGGTGGATCTACTGTTTTAACAAGCATTTACACTAATACCTAGGAAATTAATTATAAAAATTTAATCCAGCTCTCAGCTGGGTTAACCAAGAGAGAAGAGCCTTCACATCACAGTCAGTGGCTGAATCCAGCTGGCAAAAATCAATGTGGTTCTGTTTAATCATGATTAATGTTTTCACTTATTTTATAATTTTGCATGCAATTTTCTTTTTAAGGCTCTTGGAGGATGATTTGGCAATTGCTACTCGAACCAGAGAGCTTGATTCTTTGTCATGTGGTTTGCTTACCAGCAAAAGGATGTGACCAGTAGTGGAATGTGACTTGTCCTTAATTTCCTTTTTCTCAAAGGGCACAGTTACCAGAATTGAGGATTCATGTCCCTTGGTACTGCTCTGCAAAGGTTGGAATTGTCATCGCTGGTAGTATTTTGTGATTGATACACAGGACTGTTTCTGATAACCTTATTTTCACTGAAGATCATCTTAAGAGAAATTATTCACATGTTTCTGTTTCTGTAGTGGCATCTGCATACATAAGAATGTCAGCCCAGCAAGGGGCTGGGACATAGGTACCAACATTTTTTTCAGAGATAGAAGAACTACATAGGGAACATTTGACTGTGTGCTGTTGCTTATCATCTGGAAGAAAAATTTGTCCAAAGTCTTAGTCCCAAAGAGCTTGTAATGCAAGTAGAGGAGCAGTAAAGGGAAAAATGGAGTATATGGATAGAAAGAATGAGTGGAAAAACAGTGAAGTCACCACAATTATGAAGCAGTTTAGTGGTACTGAGCTTGCTAGTTCTGTATATACACAGCTGGTGTTACAGTAATTTCTTGATTGCTTGTGGTTCTACTTATGTATACATGAGTATTTCTCTACTTAAATACATACAGACATATGATATTCGTATATTACATTAAAAGAACATTAATTTTGAAAATGAAAATGCCTGAATTAAAAAGATATCTGGTATAGTCTTTAATTTTGTGATTTGTATTTTTCTTAAGACTCTTACCTTATTCAGAACATAGAAGGGATGAATCCTGCTACTTGCACAGTTGTTTAGTATTTTGATTTATTGAGTTATTAAAAATATGGCCTCAGGAGTTATTGATTACAATCTCCAGTGTATCTTCTAGCTGCTGCAGCAATTCAGAAAGAAATCATAATAAGAATATTCTCCTGGCTATGTATCACTAGGACATGATGTGTACCATAAAAACGTAATGTGATATGTTGCAGTGGAAAACTGTATTGCAAATATAGTCAAAATAGAACAATATCAAAACTGAGACACTAGACTGATTTAAGTTCGTTCAGATGAAAGGTATTTTTTAGCATGGGCAAAATTCTATGGTCTTACCAGGTGTTCTTCCTGGGAATGGAGAAAGCCTTTTTGGTAAAGCATTAAAAATAAATCTGTCTGTCCTTTCCTGTGTGCAGAAAGCTTCTCCTCAAAGAGATAACATTAGACAAAATTATAAGCAACTGAAAACAGAATCTTTTAAATGGCAAGTATGCAAAACTATTATTAGAATGGAATTACCTTTTCCCACAATTAAAATGCATACATGCCTGTGTAGGATAGAAGACGACATAGAATTTTAACAGCACAACTTAACAGGATAATATTACTCGAGTAAGAGTGTGTCATTTACAGAAATCACCCCAGACAGGTGTTGGTGTTTTTTTCTACTCCACCAAATCATTTAATATGTATTAAGAAAGAGTCATTCTGGAAAGTTCTTGAAAATTCTAGTTTTTATTTTTATCATTCCAAGACTTGAATCAGAGGAGGAATTACTCCTAATAAAACTTTAAAGTTCAGCAGTCCATAAAGCATGATATTTTGATGATGGTCTCTAACAGTTTTCAGAATTTTCAAGTTGATCCAGATTTTGAATTTCCAGAACTCAACCACTTTAATTGTATTTAGCACATATGTATGTCTTCAGCAGATCTATTAAAGGAACATTAAAGTTTCAAATTCAAGCACTCAGATGTTAGCAAATGGTAAAATTAAGGTTGTCTATTTGACCTTACTTTATGACCCGGTGAATTATGATTACTTTTTAGAAACTGTGATTGCATAATAATGAATCAATAATATAGCAGGTATTAGTAAATACAGTAATACATATACAAACATTTGGATAGAGACAGTAAAGGTACAGGTGGTGCAGAACTTCATTCATTAGTCATCTTTTCTGTGTAGCCAGGTCTCCATATCAAAAAAAAAACAATGCTATGTAATTTTTCTCTTTTGTAGGTGATGATGGAATTTGTAGCTGGCTAAAGAAAATGCTTTGTTTGATGGAGTACTGCAGTACTCTTGAAATGTCATCACAGAACATAAATGTCTGGACACCTAATCCCAACCTCTCCTAATTGGTTGGAAGGTATTTGGAAGAAGTTTATAAAGCTGAGTTTTCTTACACAGGCATTCACAAATAAGGTAAATTATCCCTGTTTAATTTTTTTACCCTCAATTTCCTGTCTTGACATCTATAGTGCACGTACACTTTCATTAAAAATTAAAAAAATAGGATACAGAATCAAAGAATTGTTAGGGTTGGAAGGGACCTCTGGAGATCATCTGGTCCAACCCGCTGCCAAGGCAGGGTCATCTAGAGCAAGCAACACGAAACACCCTCTTCAGAGAGGGTGACTTCACGACCTCCCTGGGCAGCCTGTCCCAGTGCTCTGACACCCTCAATGTAAAGAAGTTCTTCCTCATGTTGAAGTGGAACTTCTTGTGTTTTAGTTTATGGCCATTGCTCCTTGTCCTTTCACTGGGCACCACTGAAAAGAGCCTGACACCCTCCTCTTGGCACCCACCTTTGAGATACTGCTGCATTCCGCAGTACGTTAGTTTATAACATTAGTATTTTTAAATATAGTTTGCCCTACATTATAGAACATACAAATGTTCATATCACGATACATCCAGAAACATGTAAAGGTATTATTCTTGGTTGTTGTCTTAATACCTCACTTTGAAGAAAACAATTTAGACTTCATATTCTGGCCCAAGAAGCTGAGTCCATGCTGTTTCTGTTTTATGGCATGCTGTAGGCATGGATAGCTGCCAGAGCCTGTTAAAGCAACTTTTCATTACCTTTTCTCCAGGTTCTTAAAACTCACTGCTCACCATGGCAAAATACCTTTCTCAGTCAAAGCCACCAAGACTCAATCTGTAGCCTTCAGTGCAGGAGTACTGAAGTCATACCAAGTTAGAACAGCAGGGCATAATAAAGAAAAAGAGATTTTAAACCAGTATATGACACTATGCATATGCTATTTCCTCTCTAATATTGCTTTGTGAAATGCTGTACAAAACCTCTTAAGACTGGAACTGCAAAAATTATTTTTTGTGTTCATCTATATAAGCAGAATTCATAACTATCTATTTCCTCCTTTTTATCTACTATCCTATAGAGGTTTTAACTGTGATCACAGAAAGAAAGCATATTTTAAGGGGTAAGAGACTATTTCATATAGATTTGTTATTTTTCTTGTTACAATATGTGCACTAGTGTTACAATTAATATGACATAATCTAATTTACCAAGCAGTACATTGAAGTACTATTCCCTCATGGTTCAGCTGTACCTCCATTGCCCTGTAAAGTTTTTAACCATTTCATCTTTTGTACTGAATTTTTTTTTTTTTTGAGAGGTGACTTTCTTGTCACCTCTTTTTTTTTTGTATTTGGTTGAGGTTTGTTTTTTTTCTTCCCCTATAATAAGGATGACTGAAAAAACTGCCTTCTTTTCAGTTTGGAATACGCAGTTTCTGTGGGGAAGGGATCGCTCTTTCATAGATATCTACTGTGATAGAACATTATTCCTTTTCAGCATCATACATTTTATCACATGAATCATTTTATCAGCCTAAAAGTAATTTTAAATGGCTACTGACAGAGATGGTTACAGTGCTGAGAGACAGAAGTTTTTTTTTTTAGTTTTTTAAAATTTAAACAGATTATGAAATTTTGAAAATCATCTGCTGCCGATGTATAGTAGATTTTTTTCACATCTCTTTTAAATAAAATTGTAGTGTGCTTAGTTAATGAAATCCAGATTCAAGGTAAATGTGAAGACTTTATCTCTCTTACTCTCTCACACCCTACTCTACGAGAGGGGAGGTGAGGAAGCTGTAGGAATTAGGTCCATGGCGAGGTAAGACAGAGTTTTTCACCTCTTTTCCTGTAGCAGTGCAGTACACAGCTGTCTTATTTTTTTAAGGACTATATTGAAAATTTCAGATCTTTCATGGTTAACTTGTCATTTACTGTTTTAGAAAGCCCAAAATAAGGTCAGTCTGATTATGTTTCCAAGCCCATTTTTAACACTCTGAAACATTTAAAAATGCTTTTCATCTCAAAATCATTAAATGTAATCCACATACAAGGTGAAATGCTGTTAGTGAATGCCAATGAAAGTCATCCAAAGTTTTAAACTTAGGTGCCTCTTAAGAGATGAAAGCATGAAATGAGACAAAGGTTTTAATCTGTCTCTTTCTTTTTTTGTGTTTTCCTGTTTTTGTGAGTGTACCCAGGGTAGTTAATGTTTTTGCAATTATACCTAACAGCTGGAGGTATACTTGACTGAAATGACCAAAATCTTTTATAAGTAGTTCTGATAATTATCCTGCATTTTGAAAATAAGGCCTGAACTGTAATTATTTATAGGAGGGATATTTCAAGAAATATTCTGTGTTAGAATAAGGCAGATCCTTAGTATGGTTTTATTGTCTACCCTGAGCACTGTCATTTAAGGTAACTAGTGTAGGTCTGCCTATTGATATGTAAGAAGGAGATGAATGCTTAACAGAAGGCATAGAAGTTATGTACACTTTTTGAAGTAATCAAGCATTTGCTTTCAGCAAGTCCCTCTCCTAGGAGGAGTCCAGCTGTATAGTAGAAGTATTATTTAGGTCCCTCTATAGTTTTGAGGATGCCTCTGGCTCTACAAAGACTCCAAGGAGATTAGATGATATGCTGCATGTCTAAAAACAATTTAAATAGCTCTAAGTAAGTCTTTGTGCCAATTATGTTAATGAAGCTGCAAAAGGACTGCAAATTTAGAAGTCCTCTAAAGTCCAGTGCTGGCCTAGCCTTTAAATCATGCTCTTTAATCTCGCTAATTGGTGCTTTTGAGTATAGGAGAATACATGAACCCTGCTGTGTTCTAAAAGCAGTAGAGCGTCTTCACTAGCCAGCAATACCCAGTGAAAATAGAGTTCTCAGACTACCAAGTCTCCTGTAGTAAATAATGATGTGGAATAATTTCATTTCACTGCTACCTGTCAGTGCAGTTGTGCTTGTTGAACAGTGCTTGGCTGCACCTGTGCTGGTAATGGAACAGCTCTGATCTCCATGACTGTAAGGTTCCTGTCCTAGGCATGGCTAAATATCCTGTCCATGAGACAGTACCTAGGTGTAGCCAGAAATTCTTGTCTCACTGACAGAATAGGGGGTTCGGTGCCATGATTCCTCTTAAGAGCCATCAAGCCTCTCCTCACAGAATGAGAGTTTTACAGACTGATGACCAGTTATTTAAACTCAGGTATTGAAACTTAGATAGCACAGATGATTACTTAAAGTTTTTAAACTTAGATTAACAACTTTCTCTCACAAAAGTATGGTTCTAATGGATGTTAGTTCTTTTAAAACCATAAAGACCAGTTCCTTGGCTGCAGTGATTTTGTATGGTTTCACCAAAATGCATAAGGCTTTTTGGCAGCTAAGGAATTACTATCAATTTAGTATTTAATTTAGAGAATATCAGTAAGGTTGCTACTTTCTAGCTACAGATTTTATGCCAATATCACTTCCAGCTGCTATATGCATTCTTTTCACAGTGTGACTTCTGTAGTGGTAATACATGTATACATTAGGGTGACTCAGGCATATGCCATTACCCATCTCTTTTGCCTTGCTTGGAAAAGGGAGTTCCAGCCAGTGAATTCCAGCCTTATCTTGTCTCTGATTGCTTCTGCTCTAAGCTTCTGGACCAAGTTCTGAATAACTTTTCTACTTAATTTTTTTTTTTCAGATAATTTTCATTCTTCTGTAATTTTTTATTGGCTATTAGTTTTTTAGAATAGGTTTATAGGGTGTCATCCTTATGATTTGTATAAGAACACCAAGACAGTATAATGGGGGTTGTGCTTCAAAGAAAGAATTATGTAATATAATTTAATTTTTCCTTAACATTCACCCTCACTACTGGAGGAAGAAAAAAGGCTACTTGCTGAGAGAAGAGAATGCAAAGCTAATGAATCCACTGGAGAAAGGCTCTGCTCTTCTGTGTCCATCCCATGCTAAGCAGAATCTCAGTCATGGAATATCAAAAGAGATTTACCCTGTATGGTATGTCATTTATGTATGTTGAATTTAAATAATATTTCCTCTGGGAATAAAAAATTTCTTATAGTCTTGCTTTTTTTCTACTATTTCATCAAAGCCTTTATTTCAGTCATCTCTAGTTGGCCAAAACCACACTTTCTGTAACTCATTTTCTGTTTTGCTTAGGAGAAGCTAAAAGGTCTGTAGATATCTGTAAGGACATCTTCAGAGGCATTAATTTCTTGGTGTAAATGAGTTTTTAGTATCATAACTGATATTTGTCACTCCTCTAAAATTGTTCTATATACAAGTTTGAATTCATCAGAATATGCAAAAGGATGGAAAATGGCACAGGTACAACTGTTGCAATCATATTACCTTTTCATTTGAATAATTAACTTATATTTGATCACATCTACATATGTGCACATAAACAAATACTCACCATTTCCCCCCTAAGGTCACTTCTCTTTCCTAACTAATACAATCAAATGCAATCTTATATCTAATAAGAACTTTTGAGAAATGGGGGAGATTTAAAAGTTTGGTTCATGTAGAAGTCTAAATGTTCCGGACAAATTCCACTGATTTTCTTCAGGCATGCATTTTCTGAGATTTTTTTGTTGTCTCAGCAGGAATTTTGTTGATGTTATTTTTAGTTGTGTTATCTACTCAAAAAAACAAACAAAGTAATTTAGCTCTATTTACTCTCTTGGGTTTTAAAAAATAATTTATCATGGTTACAAGCAAGTGGAGTGTGAAATAAGAGAGAGATATCTTGCAAAAATAATTCTAAAATATTCACATTTGGCTGTAGGCTAATACTTTTTAATAAACTTCTCAAATAAAGTGGTATTGGAGTGCCTTGTATTGGATAGGCTTTTCTTCTGACAACATTCATTTTAAGGAGTCTTTCTATATTTCTCTATTTCATGATAATACTCTGAAGTAGTATACTCTTTAAGTATTCTTGTGGAAGAAATACTATGTGTAGCTTTTCTCTTGTGTGATACTTTACCATTGTTTCTGTGCAGGTATGGAGGAGTGACATGGATGTCCCACTTACCCACAATCTTGTTGCCTTGGGCAGTGAGTTGCAGTGCAGTAGGTATTCTGTTCTAGAACTCCGCACAATAATTTCTTAAATATTTTAACATCAGCCTATCTTTCCTGCAAATTATTCCAAACACCTGTCTGTGTCAGATACTTCAGGAATTATTTTAAAAACTGTATTTTTATTATCCTTCCTTTTCACTCACACTTCAGTTGAAAATAGTTATTGCATGAAGAATTTCATACACTATTTTAGGAAAATCATGTGTATAAATTCATATTGAAAAAATTTCACAAAGTACTTTTTTGTAAAGTGCTTTTTTATTATGCATTGTCAACAGTTAAATGATATGTTGCTGTTTCATGCAAGCTGGAGTAGTGTTAAGAGAGCAAATGTTAATCCATAAGCACAGGTTTTAAGGAAAGAAGTGCTAGTTCTGCATAAGTTTGTACAGGTTTAAGTATGAAACTGGAGAGCTGCTTCAGTTAAAATGACGTTGAATTAGTTACAGAGACAACCACTAGTATTAATTTATTAATTGCTCAGTGTCCCCAAACCTTATTCCAGTTCTGCTCAGGATGTTTAGTTTTATCCCGGTTTAAAATTTACACACTCTGGGGGCTTTTTCTCTCGTTCATTGTACCATAGGAGCAGCTCTAGGAATATAGCAAACCATAGCTGTTCACCAACCAGCTGCGGTTACTATTCAATAACGAGTCCATTTCAAACTAAGTACTGCATGATAATCCAAAAACACAAACAAAAAAACACACCAACCCTCCAAAGCCCAACCAAACCCAGATTTTCTACTATGAATTAACACAACAAGTGTACATAATTTGTCATGGAGCAACAGCTCAGTTACAATAATAATACATAAGAAAAAAACCTATGGAAATTTTTGTGCACACCAGGTGCTTCACATCTGAAATCTTTACAAACAATAAATATTAAAATTGATTGTTCCTCCAGGATGGTCATGTAATAAAATATTCCTTGCGATGTTCAGAAATGTAGAAAAACAAGGTGGGTTTTTTTTAATTACAGACTGAAAAAATTCTATCTTTTGCATCTTTATTGTCTTAAATATAAACTAAGTAGATAAAATCTGCGTAATTGACAGTATAATTGTATTAAATTTTATGAAATCTCTGGATATTAAATTCTTCAAGGAGGACTAAAATAACTGGACTGAAGAAATACCTATTTATGACATACTTTATAATGAGTGACAAATATACCTGACCACTTAGCTGCTTTAATAATTTTCATCATAAAATCTATTTCTTTTAATTTGTTCCTCTACAGTGAGCCTTTTGAACTTGACTTTTTTGCCTTGGAATGATGGAACAGCAGTATGTCTTGAGCTCAGTAAATCTAAGCTTGTATTTATGTCATTCTTTGCAACTTTTTTTATTTCACTTCCTCCGTAAGCATTAATATAATTCAGTTCTGTGTCATGATTTCCATGTTCTTTTGAATATGGAGTGCAGGAACTTTTACTTATGTCTACAGAGTCTATTAGACCACAGTTTAAAACCAGATTGTCTTTTTTAAGAAAAGATGTTTTCATGGTGTCAGATAAAATATTATATAAGTTTTTGTCTTTTTTGTCATTTTTGGATTCCTCTCCAATGCATACCAACTTGGTATCAACAGGCAGGGTTGTATTAGTTGCCTCCTTTAAACCTAATATGCCATTAGTATGAGACTTCTGAATAGTGGCATGATTGTTAAATTGAGCAAGACTCTTAGTGGTAACAGCATCTTCATCTTTTGAGTCCAGTTCATCCTGTGAAACAGTTACAGTATCACCAGAATAGCTCTCATGAGGTTCATACATCTCAAATATTTCTTCATTTCCAGACTGACTGTCCAGCTTTGCAAAGGCATGCTGTGATTCAGTGCAAATCACACAGCTTAATGTTGTCTTAGACATAGCTGAGAGAGTTGTTTCCTGTCTATAAATGTTTAGATGTGAAAAAGTGGCATAATTGTTATTGTTGTTCTTATTCAAGCTGCATTCTTTGGGATTCCTTTGTACTGTTACATCATCAATGTTAGTAACCTGTACAACTTCTGAATCATCAATTTCATTAATTTTTTTCTCTTGCTCCTTCCCAGTACTATTCATAATCACATTATCACCTTCCTTAATATCCTTTCCACTTTTCTCCTTATTCTGTGGTGCTTCTGGTTTATTCAGCTTATCTGGCATGTTCCCAGCTTTCTCATCATTTCCCTTGCCTGCTTCATTTTTGTTTGCTTCTTTTTCAGACAGAGAGCTAAAGGATGAGTGTTGATTTTGTTGTGCATTTGCAGTGTTATTTTTATTTTGCTCCATCTGACTATGTTTTTTCTGAGATTCAGTTTTGCTGCCCAGAGGTTTATGTGTATTCAAAGTAGAATCTTCTTGAACAAAACCTTCTGGAGGCCACTTTGACTTATTTAATTTAGCTACTTCTTCAATAGAAAATGTTTTCTTAGATGTTTCATCATCTGTTGAAGGAGGCCATGACATCTTTAATTTACTTCTTTCTGTGGATTTTTTCAAATTATTATCCAAAATAGTAGGATGAGCACCTTCAGTAGCTGAGTACAAGTCTTTATCAACTTCTGTAATTGGTTTAGGATCAACAGGTGTACTGTTAATGGGATTTGTTTCTTCAGCATGAGTACTGTCAACTGAACTACGTTGATCCTTAGAACTCCATAATTCTTTATGTTGCTTGTGTCCAAAACCTTCATCATAATTTCCTTTTGACTTGAAAAGTTGCTTAAAATGGGGTTTACAATATATTTTTCCATGGAGTGATGCATAATTTCCCAAGCTGCCAAATGCAAGAAAATTAATTTTATACTTTTACATATCATAAACTACCATGAACCTTACATTTTATTTGCTATTTCAGGTACCTCTCTATATAACAGTACATATAAAGAAAGGAAGAGCAAAAAGAGAGCGATGTATTGTCCAATTCTGACCACACACCTCCCCTGCTTTTACTTGCAAAGTCCCATACAATTTCAAAGTCAAGATGAAGAAGAAGAGTCATGGTTGGCACGTTAAGAAAGAACATAAACTCATTTGGTTGTTGCGTAGCCTAAGCTTCAAATAGAAATGTTCCACAGCACAATTTTTTTTTAGCCTTTGTGAAAATTACAGGAATTTGTGTTTAATTATATTTGGAATCTGCTCCCAAGTGAAGTAAAGGAAATGTGTGTAACTAACACTCAATGTGTTAAAATCAAAAGTGTTGGCCTTTGCAGTTTGATAGAGCAATAAATCCTGCATTTCATTTAAAGGTTGCAGAGTGGTTTGCTAATGCAGAGAACCATCATAACTCCTTTTATGGATGAGGAAAATTAGGAGAAAATCTGGTGTGTGTTCAGATATCTTAAATTCCACCCAAGTTTCTGTGTCTGCTGCTTCGTGAAGGTCTGTCACCGTCAGTAGGAAGTAATGTGCAGAAGAATTCAGAAGGTACTGGGGAGGAGCAGTTCTTTAGAGAATTTAAAGAACTTGTTCCCTGTCACAGGGTAGATGTAAGGAGCAGAGAAGAAAAGGGGAATTCAGGATACCTCGCTGTCAATCTTACATCCTACAGGCTGAATAGCACAGTTGAAAATAATTTCACCATCTGTATTTATACTCATGAGCAGAGTTCTGTGGGTGAACATGCAGTTACTTCTTACCTCAATTGACTGCCACAGTGGTGACATCGGAAACATGATTTATGAAAATTCTGCTTGTCAGCAACGAGGCACTCCATTGGGTAAACTCTCTGTTGACAGAGTTTACATGTTTCGTTTTCCTGAATCTGCAGTTTCTAGAACCACATATTAAAAAGTTATAAGTTAGTTTAAGCCATATGTTATGATTTGATTTTAACAAATATCCATATATTTTGTGAGAACATTATCCATTTTCCATTAGCTGGTGTCTCAGGTGGTAATTAATTATAGGGCTTCACTTTTGTTCAAGTAACAGTAAAGCTTAGAACGTGAAAGGCTATTTACCTTTCCCTTTGCAGGAATCCATGCATTGGAAAGGACTACTCACGTCATCAGGTACAATATTTCTATTTATTTGTAATAACTAATTATTTTGTGAAATGAGTTAGGATAATAAAAGGTTTTCTAGTATAAGTGGAATTGAGTATAATGTATTCACAATCTTTGAATGTACAATGTGATGGAAAGATCAATAAACAGGGGCAGATGTTTGAAATTCTGATGAGGAAGTTTTGCTTAACTATACCAAAAGCACATTAGGGGTTACTGCTTTTGTGGTAAACTGCAGACTGTGCACTCATATGGTCCAGATATGTTATGGATGTAATTATTTTTTATTTTTAAAATTTTAATTTCCACAAATCACGAGTAGAAAGTTTATTTCATACCAATAAGGGGCAGGAGGAAATAATGGATAATCCGTTGGGCTTGGAAAAATGCCTGCTGCTCTTCTGTCTTGATCTCTGAACTGCTATGAAAATGAAACTAGCAGACAAATACAAAGACAGTGGATGACATAATTGCTGTATAATTATATCTCCACTGACAATAATAATGCCCCTTCACATCAGCAGAAAATTTGGCCCCTTTCAGTATTCTGTCTGTGTTTGGTTTGCCTGCTGGTATTGATTTTATAGCAATTCACAAATCAAGACAAAAAGCAATGTAGATTTTATAACTACAGCTTTAGTTGCCACATACCTCTAGTCCATAAAGAGAGCTGTGAAAAATGCTGAAAATTAAGTATCTTCAAGATAATGTAGAACTTGCAAAAAGAATAAGCCCTAAGCAAGAACTCAGCGAATAATCTTTGGTACACAAGTATTCTGAATGTAAAGAGGGAGGAGAGGAAGGGGATAAGGTGATTGGGATGGGGGAAAAAGGTGACATGTCTCCTGGAAAACTATTTAATTGAATGGTTATACTTCAGTGTAGTTGGATAGTTGATAGTGTTGTGCCTCAGGAGGCAAGTCAAGAGAAGAGAAAAACAAAGAGGGGATTTAAGGGAAGTTTATCCCAAAACAATTGCAGGACTGAATAGTGGAGCCAATATTCATCTTCATGAAAATTAA